AATGTTGAGAGGTGAAACTTCATTGGAAGAGAGGCTGAGACAGAGTTCCTGAGTGGAAAGGCACTCTCAGCAGGCCAGATGGAGTTTAGCTGAGTACAAAGGACTTTAAGAACACAATAGCACAGATTGCTGAAGGATGGATAGAGTGGAACATGGAGGCTGGAGTCGGGGTGGGGGGCTGGAGCAATCCGGGCTTTGTAAACTGTGGTAAGGCATCTACTCTGCATCCTGATACAAAGGGAGGCCTTTAAAGGATTTTGACCATGGCATGATTTGACCTCATTTGCATTTTTGAAAGGCGCCCACTCTGGACATAAAGTAGAAAACAGACTGTAGGAGGCAAGCATGGTTTGTGGAGAGCCCATACTTCTGAGTCCACACAAAGTAGGACTGGCATGATGTGGCATCCTTCCTTGTAGAGATGGGGAGAACTGATTAGAACTAAGGAAAAAAACGTAGGCTGGGAATAAAGCTCCATGGTGAAGTGCTTTCCTAAGGTACACTAGGTCCTGGGTGCTACCCCAACACTGCAGAAAAGAAAAGCCAGTAGGGAGTGTTGGGTAATAGCCTCAGGTCACGAGGAAGTGAGTTAGGCTATACTGGGCAATAGCCTCTAGCCATAAGGAGTAACTTCGCCCCAGCCTGACTGTTCCACTCCATCTGCAGAGACAATATGCCCGAGTATGAAAAATAATCCACTTGTTCCCAGTCAAACCACACCCCCCCTCACACACACATACACACATAGCTGTAACTTCCTGATAGTTATCTATGCACATGTACATGTCCCTAGCCCATCTAAATCTGTTCAACCTTCATCCTGCAGAAAGGTTGGGGCCCCTCACTCTTCCAATAAAGCTATCTTGACTGTTGAGATTGAGTCTAGCTGCCTCTCGGCCTCATTTTTCTCACACGAAGGATGGAGGGAAGGAGAATTGGGTGAATGTTCTGGTTATGAGACTGGAGGGTGGGGACTGGTTGACTTAGCGAACATAGAAAGGTGGGGGCCTGGTTTTCATGAAACAGTTATGCATTTTGATTCAGACACACTGGGTTTAAAGACTCTGGGTTTCTATCTAGAACTAGCCTCCTCTTGGGGCTACTGTCTGTATCTCTCTGTCCTGAGACACTTTAATTCCCATAAACCCAGGCAGAAACCCACCTTGAGTTTATATCCTGGAGTTCAGTTCTTTGGCATCAGTCGAAGGCTGACTTCCTTGAAGTTCCCTGACCCAGTCAGCACTGTGCTCGTCAGATACTGTCACTGAGCCAATCAATGGTGGGAGGAAAGGCTGGCCTGGGGAGACGGCTCAGCTGGTGAAGTGCTGTGCAAGCATGAGGACCTGAGTTCTAGCCCCAGGACTTGTGTATGAAAACCTGGTGTATGGTGTACTCAGTGCCAGGTGTGTTTGTGTGTGTGTGTGTGTGTGTGTGTATGTGTGTGTGTGTGTGTGTGTGTGTGTGTGTGTGGTACTATATTGTGTACCCTAATAAACTTGCCTGAGGATCAGAGGACAGAGCCAGCCACTAGATTAGACCGAGGTCGGGCAGTGGTGGGACACACCTTTAATCCCAGCACTTGAGGTCTCATGCCTTTGCTTGGGAAGCACACATGCCTTTAATCCCAGGGAGTGATGGCAGGGCAGAGAAAGGGATATAAAGCGTGAGGAAACAGGAACTCACTCTCATTAGGCTGAGGGTTTCGTAGAGGTAAGAAATGTGCTGCTTCTCTGATCTTTCACCTGATATCTGGCTCTGGGTTTTTTATTAAAAGACCATCTAAGATTCAAACAATCCTATTGGGACAGACAGGGAAATAGGTCCCTAGGGCTTGCCAGTCAGACAGCCTAGACTAATGAGCTAGTTCCAGGCCAATGAGAGATCCTAGCTCAAAAATAAGGTAGATGGCACTCCAATGCCACCTGAAGCTGTCCTATGGCCTCTATGCACATGCACACCTGCATACACACACACACACACACACACACACACACACACACACACACACACACACACATACACACACATTCACACACACACATACACACAACCAACAAAAGAAAGAGTTTTGGATAAGGGCATCAGGGATTTCAGTTCGTTGTTACTTAGTCTCATTGTTTTGGCCTTGGGTGAGGCTGAACATCATGGTGGAGAGTGAGGGGTGGAGTAACGGACCTCACAGAACTGGAAAGCAGGGGAAGGGCTCAGAGTCTCAACAAACTCTCCGAGAGTATGCCTATAAAGACCTGATTCCTATTATGCCCCACTTCCTAACGGTGACCCCATCTCTCAGTAACACCACAGGCCAAGCCCTTAACACATGGCCTTTGGGGAAGGAGGTATCTCAGATGGAATCTATAACAGTGGATACATTCTGCATTCCTCTCCACACAAGCTGCCTTGGGCGGGTGGCATGACTTGGCCATGGGGAATCACAGAGTGATAAATGTGGGTATGAAGGTGTCTGTGATAGGCTTAACAGCACACCCAGGATGATAGCGCTAGATCACATGGTAATTCTGTTCACATTTTGAGGAGCCTCTGTACTCGTTCCCACAGTGGATGTACTAGTTTATATCCTTGTACTAGTTTATATCCTTCCAGCAGTGTGTAAAGCTTCCTCTCCTGGCTGCCAGTCCTCACGAGTGTTTATTGTTCTCTTGTTTTCTGGATGACAGACATTCTGACTGGGATGACATGGAATCTCAATGTTGTATTGATTTGTGTTCCCCCATGGCTAAGGATGTCGAACACGTTTTCATGTATTTATTGGTCGTTTGTACTTCATTTGAGAACTGTCTGTTCAGTTCATTTGTCCATTTATTGATTAGACCATTTGTTCTTCTGGTGAATTTATTTGACATTTCCTCGTCTAGTGGGCTGAGTTAGGTGGAAGGGTTCCTTCTGCAATTTTCACTGAGGATTTAACCAGGAAGTCTTTATTACTGAAGTTATCCTGGGATAAAGAAACAGTTCATATGTTCCTGGAACCAAGAGAATTAATTAATTTTGATCCATTTTATAAAAAAGTAAAACCCCAGAAGGAAAAACAAAGCAAAACAAAACCTGGAAGTCCTTATTTGCTTGCCAGAGCATTCTGCTGATTCATTTCTCAACATCCCACTCCAGGAGCATTCACAATCCCATGTGAATCATCCCTGTCTTAAGATTTTAATTTTTGTCTGCCTTAAGTTTGGACAGCAGAGGTAAGTTGGCTCATTGAGCCCTATCTTAAGACATAACTGTTGGGGCTGGAGAGATGGCTCAGAGGTTAAGAGCGCTGACTGCTAGCTGTTCTTCCAGAGGTCCTGAGTTCAATTCCCAGCAACCACATGTTGGCATACAGCCATCTATAATGAGATCTGGTGCCCTCTTCTGGTGAATAGGCATACATGCAGACAAAACACTATATAAATAAATCTTAAAAAAAAAGATACAACTGTAAATGACTGCTAATTTAATAGTAAAAAAAAAACACAAACAAAACCAACACCCCCCACAAACCACCCCCAGGAACTCCTCCCTAGCGATTCCGATTCTGAAATAGCACAATATTGTGTTATTTATTTTTGTCCAAAAATTGCTCATCATTGTTTGAAATTGTCTTGATCTGTGTGTTGTTCAGGACATAGATTATACTTGATAGAGAGCAAAGAGTACCACCTCTATTCACTCGTATCCCCTTGGACTTTAGGGTGGAGATAAGCAGATAATTAGGGACACCAATGCTTAGCTGGTTGTAGATCTATGTTTTCTATCTTGTTTTGTCTTGAGCGAAAAGCTCTGGATGAAACTTCTAGATTGAAAAGGGATGAAATAACTTAAGGTCTGAGAGGTCTTCCTCCTGCCTCAGTCCCACTTTCTGCCCCAGCACAGGCAGATACTATGAAATGAAGAAAAATGAAAACAAAAAAAAAACCACATTTAGACTATACACATGTGTGCCAGAGCTTGACGTGGTCTTCTGATGTCAAATATTGTACTTGGTCTATTAATTTGTTTTCTCTCTCTCTCTCTCTCTCTCTCTCTCTCTCTCTCTCTCCCTCCCTCCCTCCCTCCCTCCCTCCCTCCCTCCCTCCCTCCCTCCTTCCCTACCTCCCTCTCGGTTTTTTGAGACAGGGTTTCTCTGTGTAACAGTCTTGGCTGTCCTGGATCTCGCTCTGTAGACCAGATTGTTTCTTAAGAATAAGACCAGCGCCGGGCGGTGGTGGCGCACGCCTTTAATCCCAGCACTCGGGAGGCAGAGCCAGGCGGATCTCTGTGAGTTCCAGGCCAGCCTGGTCCCAAAGCAAGTTCCAGGAAAGGCGCAAAGCTACACAGAGAAACCCTGTCTCGAAAAAAAAAAAAAAAAAAAAAAAAAGAATAAGACCAGCCCAGCATGATGTAAGAGGCCTACAAATATTAGCTGCAAGAGAGGCTTAGGCAGGAAGATCTTAGGGGTAAGCGTAGTCTTGTGACAGAGCAAAACCCAATTTTAAAACAAACAAACAAACAACAAAAGGCAGAGACAAGACAAAGCACTGAGTCAAATACCCACATGAACTAGGGGCACACATCATGTGTCTTTTCTAACAGTAACCTAACATGGGGAACTGGACAGACAATATCCTTCATGTATGTGGTTCTTTTAAAACACCACTTGTTGGGCTAGAGAGATGGCTCTGCTGTTAAGGGCTGGACTCACAACCCAAAACACCACTCATGTTCACTTTCGGGTGTTTGTCCCTCAAAGTTTTCCATGTCTCCCTGGTTTGGGAGGGTGACTCAGTAAACGGCTTGCCACGCAAGTGTAACGACTTGAGTTGAGTCCCCAGCATAGATGTGGCAGTACACATTGTGATCCCAGCATTGAGGAGGCAACGACAAATGGATCCCTGGGGCTCACTGGGATCCATAGAGGCCCCTCCTAGGAAATCTCATTAGTCTATTTACCACAAGGTCAGTCATTGACATGTTATAAGGAAATGACATCGAATTGTTTGTTTCTTTTTTCTCTCAAGAGTGTTGTCCTAGCAACAGGAGTGAGCTGGACCACAGAACAGCTGCTTGTCTTCTGCCCATGACCAGGATTGACGCGAAGCGACACACTGTGGACCACAGTCCATCCTTGCTGAATGTGAGTTCTTTCTATCTCTAGCCACTGGGGACTTTGGATGAGGGGACTGGGCGGCACTCGTAAGCCCAGCCAATCCAAGAGCTTAGCTGTGTCAGTGAGCTACAGGATTGGTGAAAGACCACAGGCTACACACATTAAAACCAAATACAGAATAAAATAAAAGCTATCCATCTTATTGTATACCTGACTATTCACAGCAGCTTCAGTTATAACAAACCCACACTGTAAATCATCCAAACGTAAATGGGTGTGTGAACTGCTAACAAGCTGTGGTATACCCATGCAATGGATCATTCCTTAAGCTGAATGATTACTCAGTTAATAATCCAACAACACGAACAGATCTTAAAAATCATGCTGAAAGAAATAAGTTAGATAAAAGAGATGGTACCCTGCATGGTTTATATAAAATACTAGAAAGTGACCTTGAACAAGTTATTGAACTCTGAGCCTCAGATATACCACAGAGAAATAAAGGTTACACTCCAGGATAAGCTTGGGTTAGTGAATACATTTCTCACAGAGATTCTAATAGTCACTTCTTTGTTTGTGTGGCACTGGATCCCTTGCTCTTGTCCCTAAATCACCACTAGCATGGTGACCCCTACTCCCCAACCCGTGGGATGGCCATGCTTAGAGGTGCCTTCCAGACCTCTCATGGAAAGCCACCAGTGGCTAGAGATTACGAGAACTTTTACGTGGCAGGGTGGGTGGTGCTATTTAGTACACCACTTCACGTCAATCCTGGGGCGTGGACAGAAGTCAAGCAGCTGACCTGTGGTCCAGTTCTCTCTGTTGCTAGGACAACACTCTTGAGAAGAAAAAGAAGGAAGCAGTCTGATGTTATTTTTATAAACATGTGGACAATTGACCTTGTGGTAAACAGACTAATGAGATTTCCTAGGAGAGGCCCATTTCTGGAAAGCTTTTAGTAGGAATGAACCTGGATTTGCTTTTGGAAAACTCACCCAGAATTTTCAGATTTTTGAGACAGGGGTCCATGGAGAATGAAAATTGTAAAATGGTTGGGGTATAAAATGGAGATGAATCAGAATCTAAAATCCAATTACTATATAAACTAAATTCATAAGTCTCAAGTGACCCCATCATTTCTCTGGACCAGGAAGTCCACATCCAACCCATGAAGGGTTACCTGGGTGCCCCCTTTTCCTATCCTAGGTTCACCCTGCTTTACCAGCAACTCTGTAGTAGTCAGAGTTCCCCACAGAACCAGCACCATATGCAGAGGCGTATATAGATTTATAAAAATTAATCAGCTCTGGCTGTGGCAATGGCTTGGGGGGTAAAGTGCTTTCTGTGAAAGTCTGTGATGGCCTGAGTTCAGACCTACAGTGCCCATATAAAAGCCAGATGCAGCATTTCACATATCTGTAAGCCCAGAGTTTCCTATGGGAGACAGGAGGCAGAAACAGGAGAATTGTTGGGAAAGCTCAAGGGCCAGTCTGGTATATGCAGAAACAAAAACAAGAGAGCCTCTGAACCAAGGTGGAAGGCAAAGATTAACCTTTGACCTCCATCTGTGTGCCTGCACTCACACATACCAATGCACGAGCACACACACACACACACACACACACACACACACACACACACACACACACAAACTGGGCTTATGGAGGCTGATGATGATCAGTTCAGAGAACTACAGCAGGCAACCTAGAAACTCAGGAGAATCAATGTTATGGTTCCAGGTTCAAAGCAGGCTGGAGACCCAGAGAGATACCTCCTCAGTGAAGCTCCAGATCAAGACAGCCAGGCAGCCGGAGCTCTTTTTTCCCCCATAGAAAGATCAATCTTTTGTGGTACTCCGGCCTTCTATTGATTAATGTTCCCTTCAAAAACCAGTATTTTGTTTTTAGCTTAGATGAGTCTCAACTCCATAAGGGGGAGCAAGCTGCTGTAGTGAGTCAAATGTTAATCTAGAAGAGGCTCCATCATGGAGCTACACCTGCAGCCCTCCATCATCCATCTCATTCCAGAACACCCTTGTAGGCATAGCAAGAATGATGTGTGAGCCAATGCTTGGGCACCCTGTGGCATCTTAGCTTTTGCATTGATAAAAACTACAGGTCTGCTAGAACTAATATATTCAAAAAGTTTCCCTGATAGCCACACTGATATTAGACCAGACAGTGAGGTGGGTGAGAAATGGTTATTAAGGGGCTAAAGATAGCTCGAGAGGAATTATAATTAGGCTCGGGACTTGTAACATTCCAATTTCTTCACAATAATTGAAGTTCTAATCAGTCAGCTTTGCAGAAGGTTCAATGTAAAGGCGCTGTTTCTGGAAATGTTCATTCGTAGACTGCTAACTCCTGATGCATAGGGACCAGGATGTGGATATTGGGGATGTGATTATCTTGTGAAGGCAGACCCCTCAGGGTTGGATCCTGTCTTTGCAGAAAACCACTTCCACTATGTAAATATCCTAGTTTTATATAAGTCTTTGTACGAATATGTGTCTTCAATCTTTTGGATAGATACCTATGAGTGAGATTACTAGGCCACAGTATAGATGATGTGTATTTAGCTGTATAGAAAATTATCAATGTCCTAGAGTGTATGGGAAATTTAGTTTCTCTTTATTTATTTTTTTTTGACTCTTCTGGTATCTCTGGAACTCCCTTAGGATATGTTCTTGAAGTTACACTAACATTTTTTTTTGCCTGCTTATGTTTTTTATAAGGTTAGAGTCTACATTTTTAGGCTTTCTTTTTTTGTCTGTGCTTGTGTGTACTTATGGACATGCATTTGCATGTGTGTGTGGGGGCTAGAGGTCAACATTGCATATCATCTTAGGTCACTGTCCAGTTTATTTTGTGAGATAGGATCTTTTCCTGAACTTGGAGCTCACTGTCTCTGCTAGACTAGCTGCCCAGCATGTCCCCAGAATCCTGCCTCTGCCTCTCCACAAATAGGATTACAGACTGGAGCCCCCTGGCCTGGCTTTTTTCCTGAGTGCTGGGGATCAAACTCAGGTCCTTGTGTGGCAAGCATCATACAGGCTGTGCTGCTATCTACCTCTCCCGCCCCAAATACTATCTTCTTGATGTAGTCCTTCATCTCCTCAAATATTCAAATTATGCAAAGAACATCTCTAAAGATGTAACTTCTGGGCAGCCTGATAGGAAGGATATAATAAACTAACAGGAATCAACTATTTATGCTCTCACTTCTTAGCAATTTTATTTTACTGTAACGTGCAGTTAAATATAATACAAATTCTTACTCGCTCTTGATGTCTTAAAATATTATTTGGCCCAGATTTATAGAATGTTCTCATGCGTGCATCCAGAGTCTTCTATAACGCAGATCATATCCTCTTTCTCTGTGCTGTCAGGGAAGGGAATTTACATTTCTGATTTGATTAAGGAAAAATTAGTCATGGACTCTTTCACAATGAATGTCTCTGGCCTACCTGAAGCCTGAGCAAGTAGAGTAGGTAGGGACAGTTGCTGCAGATTCTTCATGTGCTCCACAAATCCTGACTTAGGATGGCGATTAAGCCTCATCATTGTAGTCTTGCAGAAATTTACGTTCTTAGATGATTGTTTCTTTTCACATGAATAATTTAGTAGAAGATTGCAAAGTGTGTGTGTGTGTGTGTGTGTGTGTGTGTGTGTGTGTGTGTGTGTGTGATTTAAAAATGACCTTCAGAAGGGATAGTTTCTTTTCTTCTCCCTTCTTTCTAAAAAAAATTCACAATAACTTTTATAATTTATGTTTAATGAATTCAAGAATTAAAGGAAAAATTGAAAAAGACATTTGCTCATTCCATAGATGTTATGACTTATGCTCAATTTGTAATGTGCCATTAACTGGCAATGGTCATTTTTGCTATAAGCATATAGAGTAAGCTGGCTTCCATTATTTGTTAGGAGGTTAGATTTGAATAAAAACAAAATATAATTATCTGATGGCCAATCTACACTGTGTCCAAATTGCTTGAGTATTGAAATGATGATTGAGGTAGGATTGTGTATCATTCCCCACACAACAGTCATAACTCCTCCAGTCTTAATGATGGTCATTGGCCATGACTAGGGGGATGTGGAACAGCAGAGAAGTTCTGCTGGTGTGTGTTAATAGTTTGTTGAATGTGATAGTTAGTCTTGATTGGCGACTTGACAGGATTTACAGTCACCTAGGAGACAAACTGCTAGGCCTGTCTGTGAGAGTATTTCCAGAGAAGCTTATTCAGGGAACGCCCAACTTGGATATGGATGTGACCATCCCACGGGCTGGGAGGAGGATGTAGGTGGAGTACCATCATCCATCTCTCTCTGCTTCCTGATTGTGGATGCCATGTGACCAGCCACCTCATGTTCCTGTTGCAATGCTTTCTCTGCCATGATGAACTGTGTCCACTAAGACTGTAAGCCAATTGTCACATGTATTGTCAGAGCAATAAAAAAAGTAACTAAAGCATTGAGATATAACTAATAGATTGTAAAAACTCATCCATTTAAACTGTGCAATTCACTGGGCTCCAGTGTATATACAGATATATGCAGTGCCACCACGGTTAACTTCAGAACATTTACGTCATCTCAAAAAGAAACCTCAGACCCTTAGATAGCCAAATAATATCCCAGTCTTCTCATCCATGAATCTACTTTCTGTCTCCACAGATTTTTATGAATTGATAAAAATCTATTTTAGATATCCATGGACATGGAATCATATAGTATTTAAGTATTTAGTCTCTTTTGTTGCCTTTTTAAAGGTAACAGTATTTTGAAGGTTCAACTATTTTATATATACTTTATTCTTTTCTGTCTCTGAAGAACATTCCACTTTCCACTATCTCACATAACAATTTTGTTAACATTTATCAATGACAGAGTATTAGCCACTCTTCTTTTTTTTAAAAAAATATTTCATGTATATGGATGTCTTACCTGTATGTATGTTGGCATCATGTGTGTGCCTTGTACATCAAGCCAGAGGAGGGCATTAAACTCCCTGCTACTGGAGTT